TCGCCCACGCCGGAGGTTGTGGCCCTGCGGGCGATCGTCTCCAAGACGAAGTCGACGCCAGACAGGATGCATGCTCGGCTTGCGCACGTCGGCATGGACACCATCAGGAGCTCGGCGAAGAACGAGGTCGCCATTGGGCTGGACCTCAAGTCGGCGACGGGCGCCGACCCACCGTGTGTCTCGTGCGTCGGCGGGAAGCTGGCGCGGCACACCTTCCCCGACCAAGGCTCCGACGCCGCCGACGTGCTAGCCGTCGTCCACATCGACCTGTGTGGGCCATTCCGCGTGGCTGCCAAGGACGGTAGCCTGTACTTCTTGCTGCTGAAGGACCGCAAGACCCGCTTCGTGTGGGTGAGGCCAGTCGCCAAGAAGTCGGACGTGCTGCTGGAGTTCCAGAAGTGGCTGGTGCTGGTGGAGAGGCAGACGGAGAAGTCGGTGCTGATGCTGCGCTCGGACCGAGGCGGGGAGTTCCTCGGGACGACGTTCACCGACTTCGTGGACGGCAAAGGGATCGTCCACGACCTGACCTGCCCGTACACCCCGCAGCAGAACGGCATGGCGGAGCGGGAGATGCGGACGGTGGTGGAGTCGGTGAGGACGATGCTACTGCACATGGGCGTGCAGCACCACTGGTGGCACCTCGCCCTGCGGCAGGCCGTCTGGATCCGCAACTGCCTCGAGCGGTCGGCGACGCCGGGGACGACGCCATACCAGCTACTGACCGGGACGAAGCCCGACTTGTCGCTGGCGCGCGTGTGGGGCTGCATGGCGCAGTTCCTCGTCCCCGAGCAGCAGCGGGGTGGCAAGCTGAAGCCGAAGGCCAAGTGGGGCCTTCATCTCGGCGTGTCGGAGGCGAGCAAGGGCTGGGAGCTCCTCGACATCGCCGCCAACCGGGTGGTCACCATGTCGGACGTGGTGTTCTACGAGGACCTGTCGCTGGAGGAGTGGAGGTCGGCGCATGGCTACGTGTCAGGGCGGACACTGATGGCCACGCCGACGGATACCTCGACGGCAACGCTCCCTCTGCTCGCTGAGGTCGGTGAGCTTGCTGAGGACGACGCCGAGGTCGTCCACCCTTCCTCTACCCCCCCTGCCCCTCCCCTCGTCGACCTGCGTGGGCTGACTCCGCCGTCGGCCTCCGGCGATGAGGGGAGCTGTGGGACGTCGCCTGTGGCGCCGATCAAGGGCATCGCCGGTGGCCGACAGGACGAGCGGCAAGTCGACGAACAGCAGGTCAACAAGCCGGTCGACCTGGGAGTGCAGTCAACTTGGATAAGGGGGGAGCCGGTCGAGGAGGTGCAGCCGACTAGGGTGCAGCCGACAGGGGAGCAGGCAGCAGCGAGGCCGACCAAGGAGCAGTCGGCGACCTGGCAGTCGGCAGGGGAGCTGACCGCAGGGGAGAAGTCGGTCGGGACGCCGACCGAAGTGCAGCAGGACGACGAGGATGGCGGTGAAGATGAAGGGGAGCAGTTGGGCGACCAGAAGGTGGTCGACCAGTCCACCGACCGGGACGTGGTGGTGGTCCCTCCTGAACCCCGGAAGTCTGGTCGACTTCGGAGGCCGCCCGACTTCTTCATCCCCGCTGCCTTCACCACGGTGTACGACGTGGAGGACGACGATGACCTGCCGTACGACGACGCTGATGAGGACAAGGAGTTTCCGGAGCTCGACCCCGACATGCTGGCCGACCCCGAGCACCGCTGGGACATCGCGACGATGTCGGTGAAGGAGGCGTTGGCGAGCTGGAAGGGTCCGGCGGTGAAGGCCGCCATGGAGGAGGAGATCCGCAGTCTCATCGCCATGGGCACGTGGGAGCTGGTCGAACGCCCACCTGACGGGAATGAATCTCATGAAGAACCGGTGGGTGCTGACGACGAAGTACAACATCGACGACACCGTCGAGCGGGAGAAGGCGAGGCTGGTCGTGAAGGGCTTCACGCAGGTGTACGGCGCCGACTACGACGAGACGTTCGCGCCGGTGGGCAGCTACGTGACGCTGAGGATCTTCCTCAGCATCGTCGCCGTGCTCAACCTCAACCTGATGCAGCTCGACATGAAGAACGCCTTCCTGCAGAGCAAGCTCGACCGGGTGCTGTACATGTCGCAGCCGGATTACTTCAACGACGGAACCGGCCGGGTGTGCAAGCTGCTGAAGAGCCTGTACGGGCTGAAGCAGTCGCCGCTGCTATGGTACTTGGCGCTCAACGACGTGCTGGTCGACGCTGGGTGGAAGAAGAGCCAGGTCGACGAGGCCCTCTACTTCAAGGTCGGCGACGATGGAGCGACTTGCTGGGTGCTGGTCTACGTCGATGACTTGCTCGCCGCCAGCAGCAGTCCTGCGATGCTGAAGGAGCTGAAGGAGCTGCTGGAGGCCGCCTTCGAGTTGCGCGAGATCTCGCCGGTGCAGAAGTACCTCGGGCTGGAGATCGCGCGCGACAGGTCGGCGGGGAAGCTGTGGCTGCACCAGCAGGGCTACGCCGACAAGCTGCGTAGGCGCTTCATCGACGAGGAGCAGGGCGGACGGACTCCGAAGACGCCGGTCTCGGTCGACGCCTACGCCGAGCTCACCTTCGATGACGAGGAGGCGCAGGAGCGACAGGAGGAGGAGTACCGGCAGAAGGTCGGCTCGCTGCAGTTCGCGGCGACGACGACGAGGCCGGACATTGCCTTCGCCTGCAGCAAGCTGGGGAGCGGCCTCACGGTGAGAAGCGACCAGCACTGGCGCGAGGTCGACCGCTGCCTCGCCTACCTCGCCAACACGCGCGACACCGCCCTGGAGTTTGGCGGTGGACCTGAGTCGCTGGAGCTGGTCGGCTACGTGGACGCCGACGACGCCGGTGACAAGCAGAGCAGGACGAGCACGGGCGGCTACGTGTTCGTCTACGGAGGGGCCGCGGTCTCCTGGTCGAGCCAGCGCATCAAGTGCGCGACGCTGTCGTCGACCGAGTCGGAGTACGTGGCGGCCGTCGAAGCCGGCAAGGAGGGACGCCGACTTCGCTTCCTCCTCGCAGAGTTCCAGCAGCTGGATGCTGGGAAGCCGACCGTCCTTCGGGTGGACAACAAGTCGGCCATCACAGTCGCCGAGGGCATGGGGTTGACGGGCAACCTCAAGCACATGGAGCGGCGACAGGCCTGGCTGCAGCACATGGTAAAGCGGGGGAAGTTTGCGCTGCAGTACATCCCGACCGCTGAGCAGCCGGCCGACTTCCTCACGAAGGCGCTGCACTATCCGGCCTTCAACCGGTGCTCCGTTGCAATCGGCCAAGTGCGTCTGGCCGACGTGGGCGACGGCGACGACGTGCAGCAGTAGGTGCCATGCCCTTTTGCATGGCTGGTGCGGTGGATGACGTGCTGTGTGTTGGGTGCACGTCGACGAGCTGTTCTCCGAGAGGTGCTGTCGTGTGGGCTGGGGGGGCCCAAGCGTGAACGCGGCAGGGGAGTGTCAACGGGAGTTGGGTGTTGGCCCCGTCCTCGCTTGGGCGGAGCCGACTTCCTGGTCGGGTGTAGGGGTGCAGCCGACCTGCAGTAGTGGGCGAGCCGGTCGACGGGGTTGGTCGACCTGCACGGAAGCCACTGCAAGGGCGCCGACTTTGGGAGGGCGCCAACTTCGAGTGGTCGACTTGAGAAGTCGACCTGCAGAGGGCGTCGACTTGGGGACGCCGACCTGGGGTAGCCGACTTGGGTGGTCGGCCAACAGGAGTGCTGGTCGACCTGGAGGTGGTCGACAAGGAGTGTCGTCGACCTGGAGTTGGTCGACCAGAGGGCGTGGTCGACCTGGTGAGGTCGACTGGAGGTGGCCGTCGACTTGGGAGGTCGACAGGCACGCACAGGAGCACCTGGTCGACGTGGTTGCCCAGTCGACCAGGTTACCTGGGTGACGAGGGTCTGCGAAGGCACGCGAAGGTCGCCCAGGCGAGGTTGGCAAGGACGACCTCGGTGGTGGTATCCCGAGGTCGACCTGGCAGATGAGATGCAGTCGTCAGCACAAGGTGGACTTGGTGCGTACGCTGTGCAGGTGACGAAGCAGTGCGCGCCAATCATCTACGAGCACCTGCAAAGCTGGTGCGATGCTGGACTGCAGGAGCAACGCTGGCACGCCGTCGACTTGCGCTGTTGTCACACCATCGACCTGCAGCGTTGGCAAGCCGCGTCCCTGCACTGCTGGAGCGCGGTCGACCAAGTCGTGCTGGCACGCGGTCGACCGTGCCGCGCTGGCAGTCGACCTGCTTGCATCCTAGCTCTGATGTAGTCTTGCCTAGCCAACTTCATTGGATCATTGTTGTCCACTTTCTCTAGTGAAACTCTTGCCAAATTGCCTTGTGAACTAGCAAGCAGTGAGTACACTAGGAAACGACTAAGGAACAGAGAACGCAGAGATCACACGAGCATCCGTGCCTAGCCCGTAGTCTAGCTCCCGTTACTAGAGTTATCTCCGCAGTCTCTTCCGCCATCTGCCCGATCTGGCCCTCTCACGATCGTTGATCGCTGCCGATCCCCTGCGTCCGCGCCCTCGTCCTCGCCCGCCTCCCCTTCCTCTTCCTCGCCCCCTCCTCGCCGTGTTTGGCGGCGCCTGCTCTCGATTCGTTCCCTCTCTCGGCAGTTCGCCCGATCCATCCCCTGTGCCGTCCTCCTTGGTGGTCGCATTTCGTCTGCGACCTCCGCCTCCCTCATCCCCACTTCTGGCTCCTGTGATAATGACGGGCAAGTCTCGGAAGGCCCCGCGTCGTGAGATTGTGGTGGGAAGATCTGTCGATCCCATCCCCACAGAGGCCCCGGGCGGCCAGGTGCCAGCCTTGCTCCACCGCTGACCTGGTTGAAGCCAAATCGAGCGGCGGGTCGGGCCCCGGGCGGCGCGTTCAGTCCGCTGCTCGTGGGCCCTTATTCCACCCGCCGCCTTGGCGCACGGCTCACTACCTTCTCCCTCGGGGCCAACACTTCCGTCCTCCTTGCCGCCCCCAACCTCAGTAGTGGCGTCCAGCCTCCTCCCGCTCTGCTCTTCATCACGCGGTGCAATGCCTCCTTCTGCGCCGCTGCCTCCATCCAACCCGCAGACCCAGCTGCACCCATCTCAGCGTTTGCCGAGTCCTTCTCTGCCGCCGCCCGCCTCTCAGCCTCCGCAGCTTCAGCCGCCTCCTACGCCTCAGCCGCCTTCTCTGTCGCCGGTTCCTCTGCCGCGGGTTCCTCCACCTCAGGGGCCTCCTCTCAGCCGTCTCAGGCCTCCTTGTGTCCTCCATAAGCTCCGCCTCGGTCTCAGCCGCCCTTGCCACCACCGGCGGTGCCACCACCGCCGCCCCCACCGCGCCCTGTGGAGCCCCAGTCACTGCCACCGCCGGTCTCTTCTCCCCTCCCCTCTCCTCCTCCTCACTGTTTAGCGCCTTCGGCACCCCGTAGTCCGACTGTTGATCCCTGGGAGTTCTCGTGGCCCTGTCGCCCGCGTGATGGTGGTTGAGGCCCTCCCTGGTACACTTCTCCTGCTGAGGTGGCGTTTCCCTCTCGTGATTCGCGTCTGGTGCAGTTTTGCCATTGTGTGGGTGCTGTGGCCGCCGTGTTGGAGCAACTCCATCATGCTTTGCAGGCTCGGGAGATTGTGGCACGCGACCCCCGATTTGGCGAGCTGCAGCTGGGGCGCGTGCGCGCGACGATGGCTGGCACCCTGTGGGAGGTCCTGCATTTTCCCCTGGAGCCGCATGATCCTTTGCTGGACGATGAACCTGGCGCCGCGGCCTTCCGGAGGGTAGCCAAGGCTGTTGAGGAGGCGCCATTGGAGGTGGTCCCTGCGATCTCGTCCTTGCTCCATCGGCTTGAGCAACGGGTGCGTCAGGTGTAGGCGGCGTCTTCTCTGCCGCCTTGGTTGTGGGCCTTTTCCTCCCCATCACTGGGGACTTACCTTTTGTGTGGCCCATGGCAGCCTTAGTTGAGCATGCTTGTACTGCTTGCTGTTGTTAATATCGCTCTTGTCCCCTTGTACTTGCCACCTCGCGGGCCGCGTTGTCGAGCGGCCGACGCGAGTCGCTGGGTTGGGAGAATTACACTCACCAGAGAATCATGGCTGGAATAAAGGAACCAGGGAGACTATATAGGAGAATGTACTCTTTATAGGCTTTTTGCAGTGGCTACACTAGGGACTAGAGGCTAAGGATGCCTTAGGTCTATGCTATGCTAAGGATAAACAAAGCTAGAGAGCTGGGAGAGACTAGGGGCTGGGCCAAGTCTCTCTCTCTCTCTCTCTCTCTCTCTCTCTCTCTCTCTCTCTCTCTCTCTCTCTCTCTCTCTCTCTCTCTCTCTCTCTCTCTCTCTCTCTCAAGCAGTCCTTCATTGATAATATACGAGGTACAAAGTGGTCCAACATGCAAAGGTCCCAATGACATAAGCACACCCACACTCCTACAGCACATCCCATATGAGCCATGAACAAGGACCACTCAATAGCCTAGCCCCCCCCAGTGTGGCCGCCTTGGCTCAAGCCTCCAGCTTGAGGTGCGCCCTCTGCCCCACCCCTCACATGTCTAGAGGCGGTCCCCACTCCAGGTGATCCTCTAGGACCTGCCAGAGGTCGCCCAAGCGGGGCTCCCAGGGGTCGGCCGCCACCTGGGGGTACGCAATCACCGTGGCCCTGTTCGACTTCGCCAGGAATGCGTTCGCCTGGCTCCGCTGCAGCGCCACCGACCACCGCTGCCGGTAGTGTGCCGTCAACTTGGAGGCTACCGTGGTTAGCCTTCCCTGCCTGTGCTTCTTTTTAGCCGCCTGTGTGCCCAGCATCCTCGAGAACCGCTGAGTGTCCCTTGCCAGGGCCCCATATGTCTCTACTGTTAGCCCCAGCACCCCCACATAGTCTGGGCGCCCCTCATACATCCCCCTCTTGCTCCTTGCAGCGTCTTCCGCTGCCCACCCCGGCGGCTTCACCGCCCTGGTGTCACGACGTTGCAAGACCGGGTCCGTTACTGTCACGTCCGTGACCCATGTCTCGGCTGACTCTCTGTCCTTAAAGGCCAGGTCCGCTCGCTTGGGGTTGACTGGTTGCGAGTAGACCGTGGTCTCATACAGGGTGTAATAGTCAGCCTCTCGTGCCATGCGTAGTGCCGCATATACTAGGGTGTTATGTGTGTTCATTCGGTCTTTCCCCTCCCCACACCGCAGCAGGTGGTTAGGCAGGCTCAGGTCCCCTAACTTCCCCCTCTCCCCCTGACACGGGCAGCTGTCGGTCACCGGCAGGGTCAGGCCCAACCGGAAGCCCAGGGCCAGAGCGTATTGCCCTGGTGAGAACGTGAGATCTGCCCGCATTGGGATGGCGTGAAGCCAGTCCCCCGCCCCCACTCCCTGTAGGCTGCTGAGCCGCACCACGTGGCCATTGTCCTCCCCCGGCTTATCCACCCTTGTGTCATCCACCAGCTCTGCCGCCCTAGTGAGGTTGATATGTTGGGACAACTGCTCCTGCAGATGGCCCTCCCCACCCCTCCTTCCCCTCGGCGCCCTCAGTAGTTCCTGTGCCCGCTGCGGGAGTCGGTTCCGCATGTCCCTCAGTGTTGATCCTCTCCTGCCAGCTACTCCCTCCCCCATCGGTGATACCAGCTCTGCTGCCCGCTACAGTTCCTCATTCGGTGAGTGCGGCATCTGTTGTAGCAGCAGCTGCGCAGCTCTTAGTGACGACAGGTGCGCCACTGGCGCTTTCGAGAGAGGATATATCAACCCCAATCCTCCCAGCGCGATGGGAGCGTCGACTGCCTCCACACCAGGCTCTGCTCCAGCTCCTTGGATGGTACGTGAAGGTGTGCCGCCCTTAGCGCCGTCCATAGCAGCCGCTCACTCCACCCGCGCCACTCGGCCAGGGGCAAAACATCCGCCGGTGTTGTGCGCAGGAGGTAGGATATCCTGCGTGAGATGCACCTGGACAGCAACAGCATTGCATGCTGCGGGTGTAGCTTGCTGATGAGCCGTAGTGGCAGTGCTATCCGCTCCAGCGTTTCCCGTATCGTGCGTCGGCAGTAAGCTGTGTTACCAATCAGGCTTCCCAGGACCTGCACCCCACCTACTGCCGCTGCCAGCCCTTCAGATAGGCCCCCCGTGTGCCCTGAGGGGCACCATGCCGATGATTTGACCAAGTTGCAGCACAGGCCGACACCTTGAAGCTCTCGGGTGATCCTGTTGAATGCTCGGGTTGCCGCTGCCGAAGGTCCGACGATCGTGATGTCGTCGGCATATGCCATCACCGTCGCATCTGGCGTCTCCACCGCCGCCGCCAGCAGGGCCGGTTGTATTGCCAGTGCGAAGAGCGTGGGACCGAGCGGGTCTCCCTGGCGCTCGCCCCGTGCACTTTCGATGGAGCTGACGTTGAAGCCACTGTGTCGGAGCAGCTTCGATGGAGCCGCATACAGCATTTGCGCGAGGGGCAGTAGTGAGATCAGGTTTGTCCAGCGCAGTGAGTTCAGAAAGTGCCCGCGTTCTACCGAGTTGAACGCATTTTCTATATCCAACTGCAGTATCACCCTTGTATCGTCTTCCTCCAGCAGCGCTCGCGCAGCATGTATGATACACTCCGCCCCTCCCGGTACCGCCACACCGTACTGCACTGGTAGGAAATATTTACGGATCTCTCCCGATAGCTCCTTCAGAGCCGCTTTCGCCACGATCCTTAGTAGCGCCTCTCCTATCGCTATTGGCCTGACGCCGCCGTCCGGTTTTCCTAAGGCGACCAACATTGCTGGCAGCAGTAGCCTCACTGGTCCGTCCTGGAACGTGCTGAGGAGTGTGTTGACTAGGTCACGGAGTAGCATGAAGACTTCTCCGTTTGTAAGTGCTGGGTCGCGGAGGTGCTCGAAGCAAGTGCCAGAAGGGTCGGCCCCTATCCCGTTCGGACACTTCGCTAGGACGTCGCGGAACGAGTCCGCGCCAATGGCAAGTGTCGTTTCACCGTAACCCCCCAGTCCCTCAGGTATCGCTACTTCAGCTCGCGGGTGTTTCGCCCAAGTGTCTCCAGGGCCACCTGCGAAGGCTCTGCCAGTGGTGAGCTCTGTAACGCTGCTGCTGCTTTCGCCAGACTGGCCTTGCGAACCAACCCATCCATTCGTGCGCAGATGCCTTCTGTATCTGGCTCGTGCCTGCTGGGTTGGGAATCCGCCGGTAAGGTGCAGGCTTGGAGGTACAGTCCCCCCCATTACTCATCTCGAAATTGTCTGAGTCGTTTCTCAACCTCGTCCAGGCTTTTGCCTGGTAATTTCTCCGTGCTTGCCCTCAGTGTCAGCCGGGGCAGGAATTGCAAAATTTGCCACGCTCCCATGCACCCCGGGTGCCTCGACAACCTCAAAAGAGGAATGGTGAGGCAGTGGCTCAAGATCTCAGGGGGAAGTTTCCGGATCAGAAAGGGTTGCCTGCTAGCGCGGAGTGGGTCCAGATTCCAGCTCTCCACCTGCTGCCATGTGGCGTCATCGTCAGTGATCTGGCTGGGCGATCGTTCTTTGCTGGCGTTGTCATTGTTCCGCTCCCTCCCTGATTCGCCCACCTGTCCGGTCCCCGCCTGATTTCTTTCATCCCTCCCTCGTATCCCGCCCCGTCTCCTCCTCCCCTCGTTGCCAGCTGGGACGCCCTCCTCCGATTCGACCGAGACATCTTCCGATTCCGCTTGTTCCTCGCCCATATATTCTGACCCGTCTTCCCCTGGAGGGTCATTCATTGTATCCACGCTTTGCACCTCTGGCCTCACGTGCCTTTCCCGCTAGTTGCCAGATCTAGCCTTTTCTCTCGCAACCGATCTCGCCAGTTCCCCCACCCTCACTCCTCTGCCGCGGCCACGTCCGCGTCCTCTCGTGGCCGTTCTTCCCGCCGCGTTTCGCGGCTGCCGCGTCAACGCGCGTTCTTCTGCCTGCTCACGTAATGCCCTCTGCCTGCTCGTTTCAGTCCATCGGACGTCGTGGTTTGCCTCCGCCCCCATGTTCCCTTCTTCCTCCCCCGCATCGTGGTTATGTTCTGCTGACTGATGTTCCCGTCCTGTGCCATCTTGTGCCTGCAGGCTTTCGTTTGATGGCGGCCAAGCGCCGCTCCGTTCATCGTGGGGGGCGGTCGGGTGTCTCTCATGGTGTTCCCAGCCCGTCAAAGGCCCAGGCCGGGCTGGCGCCAGCCCTGCTCCGAGCCGCCGCTGCCCTGGTCGCGCACGAGAAGGCCGACTCCCCCTCTCATCGCAGGGAGCCGATCTATCGTTCGCCCCGCGGGCGGAATCATCCACACCTTCAGGCCCGTGGTGGCTCCTTTCGCCGTCGCCGACCGCCTCGACCAACCCCTTCCGTTCAGCGGGAGGTAGTTGGCCCCCTCCTTCAGCCGTCCCGGCGTTCCCCTGTCGTAGTAGCGCCTCCTCTCCCCACCCCGTCCCAGTCGATGCAGTCGTCCCCGCAGCTGTCGTCCGGGGCAGGAGTGCCGCCGCTCTTCATCCAACCGTCGCCTCTTTTGCCATCTGCCCCGCCGCTGCCTCCGCCCCCCGCACCGTCTCTTCCCCCGGCTCCTCCTCCGCCCGCGTCGTATGTAGAGGCACTCCTTGTGCCTCCTCCGCAGTCACAGTTGCAGTCTCTCGATCTACCCCCTTCCGAGCTTCCCCAGCGGCAACATCCTCTCGTTCCTGCTGCCCCGTCTCCTCCAGCTCGATTCCCTCCGCCTCGTGCCCAGTCTCCCCCCCTCCCACCTGACGCGCCTGATCCTGATGATGACGAGGAGCGGTGGAATGGTGGGCAGTGGGACTCCCCTCCTCAACCCAGGACAACGTGGGCTCGTGGTTAGTACTGAGTCTGAAGCACAGAGATGCTTTTCTCTTGCTTCTTGAGCTGATCCTGCACGAACTGGAGAGTGTTCTGCAGGTCCTGGATGAAGCTGGAGGTGTCATTTCCCTTAGGAATCGACTGCACCTCCCTGGTCAGCTTCTCAATCAAGGCCTGAAGCTTAACAGAATCAGCCTCCAAGTTCTGGATGCGGCACTGCTGCTCTCCAATAAGGATATTCTGCTTCGTGATTTGAGTCTGGAGCTTAACAGCGATGTCCTCAGTCTCATTGGAAACGCCCTCGTCAGAGCCAGCCCCATCCTCATTTTCAGCATCAGCATCAAGTTCAGCTTCACTTCCATTGATCTCCATGTCCACAAAATCCTCAAGGTTGAGATCAATGTCAGCAGCAGCAGCAGCAGCAGCAATATCTCCCTCATTGCCAGCAATGGGCACCTCCTTAGTAGCATCCATCTCTTGACCAGAAGCCATGAAACAGGTTAAGGAGAGGAGATCTCAACAGATCTTATAATAATCTTTAAGAAATCTTATTACTCTTATAGAATAATCCAATACAGAATCTCTTAAGATTAACTTGTTTGCCAAATCTCTCTATCACCTCAATGATAGAGCAAGATATACTCAAAAGAGTAATCATCAACAAGTCCTTATAGATCTGAAGGTACACTCATCTACCAAAGGTAGATCAAGAGTCTTCCACCAAAGGTGGGTAAGAGAAATTAATCTCTTCAAATTTCTTCTCAATGTTGATGAAGAAGAAGAGACACCTTGTAGATCTTGTAGCTCCAATTGTGTGTTGAAGAGATTGAAGCTTGGAGCTTGTAGATCTTGTAGGAGTTGATGTAGATCTTGAAGAAGAAGTTGTAGATCTTGAGATTTCTTCAAAATCTTCAATGCTTCTTGGATAAAATTCTAGATCCACAAGCTAGGATCCTCTAAAAAAAATAATCCAAGTAGCAAATGGCCACACAAGGCCAAGGAAGAACCCTGCTCTGATACCAATGTAACACCCAAGGCTATTATAGTAGAGATTACAAGGCTTTAATAATGATCACGGTACAAGATGGTAGCTCTAGCTAACCCCTCCAAATAGGTGTGAGTCTTGTTGAAGCCTTTGATGGAAAGCACTTGAAAAAGTTGTGTAGGGAGTTGTGTGAGAGAGCTCTCAATGACTTAGGTAAAACAATCCCATTTCCATTTGGTTAGTTGGAGTGGGAGGTTGAGAATGAGCTTGGAAGCTCAAACCCCCTCAATACACCCCTTTGGGAACTCTCCCAACCATGGCTTCCATGGTGGGAGGGTTCCTAGGCTTGGAGCCTATGTGGCAATTGTGTTGGGTTGGAAAACCCAACTTAGAACCATTGAACCCAACTTGGTTGTGTTTAGGATAGAGTAGATTGTAACAAATGTTTGGCAGTTTCTGATTGGTTGTTAATCCAACCTTCAATCTCAACTTTGATGGGTTGGAATTTTCCAATCCTATTGGTTGAGGTTTGGTATTTCCAAACCAACCTTCTTCTCCAACCCAACCCTTCTTTCCCAATCCAACCTTCACTCGTAGCACAATTTCTATCGAGAGAAATCTCGACGAATGCCTTGAGTGTTAGTTAGCTAGGGAGTTAGGTGAGAAGGGGGGTTGATGCGTTACATTGTGGGTGTTGATGCGATGCTTTTCCGTGCCGCAGCGGAGTAGGTGGTTAGGGAGGCGGGGGTCCGTGATGGCGGTGTGGTCAGCGCAGTCACAGTTCTTTGGCGTGGAGAAGGGGAGGGCCAGCCGGAAACGCACGGCATTAGAGAAGTGAGTGGGCCCTATCCTCCTGTTGGCCGCAATGGGGATAGCGGTTAGCCAATCCCCGGTCCCATAACCGGTCAGGGAGTACATCCGCTGCGTGTGTCCGCACAGGGGGTTCAGCGCCATCCGTCGTGTCTCCCGGACTTGTACGGCATATCTGCTCCCATGTACCCTCAGTGCCAATGCGTGCTGGAGCCTGGTGTCTGATCGCTCCAGCCGCTCTTTCTCCAGGATTTCCCGTGCGTCGTCCGGTAACGCCGCTTCGTACTCCGATAGCCATGCGTGGAAGGCGTGGCGGCGTCTGCAGGCAGCAGCATGTGGTCCCGAGCCTGCGTCAGCGCGCCATCAGGGACGGCGCCGTCCAGTGATGCCAGGAAGAGCGCGGCCTGTGTGAAGCTCGCTGCGTACCCATACACTCCCTCGATTAGTGGGTCGGTGATGCCTATCCCCCCCAAAGACGGCGGCAGTGAGGCCTGCGCCCAGACACGTGCTTGTTCCGTGCGGCATGTGGGGACGCGGATGCTGCATGCTGTGAGTAGAGCTGCAAGCAGATCAGTCCCCCACTGACTCCAGGTGTCATGAGGTAGAAGGTGGAGCGGAGTCGTTCTGGTGAGGTATGCCACCCGCCTCGAGATACAGCGGGTGAGCAGTAACGAAGCTACCTGGGGGTCAGCTTTCTCAAGGAGTGGCAAAGGCTTTGCCATTTCCCGTAGCTGACCCGACAGGAACTGTGACGCCCCACTGTCGGGACCCACGAAGCTTCCGAGCAAGCGCACGCCGTCCTGGGAGAATGGAACGCTCTGAGGCAGCTGGGCCGTCACCGCTGCTTCCCTGCTCCAGGCCGCGCATTTATGCGCGTTGTGTCTCAGCCCCAGGTGTGCCAGCTTCCCGGTGAAGTGATTGAATGCGGCTACAGTGCCCGCCGCCTCCCCCAGGAATGTGACATCGTCGGCGTATGCCAGACAAAGCACATGGGGATATGCCTCAGTAGTGTCGCGAAGTGCTGGGTGTATTCCCGCCGCAAACAGTAGTGGGCCAAGTGGGTCCCCTTGACGCACGCCCCGTTCGCTGATCAGTGGATCACTTTCGAAATTTTCATCGAGATGCAACTTTGACTGGTTACCATAGGTCAGCTTCACTAGCGGCACAATTGGCGATAGCCCAGGGTCACTCTCTCTCTCTCTCTCTCTCTCTCTCTCTCTCTCTCTCTCTCTCTCTCTCTCTCTCTCTCTCTCTCACTCTCTCTCTCTCTCTCTCTCTAATGGTCCTTGTATTGATATGGCAGCCAATTACATGCATGCAAGGTATAGAAGCAAAGGTAGTAACAAAAGCAAATCCTACACTATCCCCCGCCCCCCCTCTAAAGTTCCAGGAGGGGCTCTATTACTGCAAAACAGTCCCCCAGATTCAACTCCTGCCCTATACCACCCACAGGCGGGTTCTCTGCTGCTGCAGCCTCACCCAACTTGATAAGGAGGCCCACAGATTGGGCCCTCTGAAGGGCCACCGACCATCTCTGTCAAAACAGGTGCAGAAACTTGGCGGCATAGTAGGATTTTGAGTCGGCGTTGAAGTGGCGCCGAGCCGCTGTGTCTGCAAGAAGCTTGAGGAACACGGGAACCTCGGCGCATGGGCAGCCATAGGTGTCTACCGCTAGTGGGAAGAAGCCGACCGTCTCTGGGCGGTTGGCGTAGTGTTTGATCTTCTTGTCTGCTTGCTCTCGTGCCGCCCACCCGCTGCCTTTTTGAGCCTCAGGATCCCGGGTGCTGATGGGGTCCGTGACCGTGACGTCGCAGATGTACACCGCCCCACTGCTACGATCCGTCATCATGAAGTCGGCCATTTGCTCTTCGATGGGGCTGTGAACGGCCGACTCCCGATGAACAATAAAACCTGCATCCTGCGCCATGCTGATGCAAGCGTCCCGCAGCTCATTGTGTGTGTTGATGCGGTGCTTGCCCGTGCCGCAGCGAAGGAGGTGATTCGGGAGGCGTGGGTCGGTGATAGCTGTGTGGTCAGCGCAATCACATTTCTTCGGCGTTGAGAAGGGCAAGGCCAGCCGGAAACGCACCGCGTTGGCGAAGTGCACTGGCCCGATACGCCGTGTTGCTGCGATGGGGATGGCCGTGAGCCAGTCGCCCGTGCCGTAACCCGTGAGAGAGAACATCCGCTACGTGTGGCCAGAGAGCGGATTCAGCTTCATGCGTCGTGTTGCTGCCACTTGCACGGCATATCTGCTCCCATGAACCTTGAGGCCGAGTACATGCTGTAGCCTCACATCGGACCGTTCGAGCCGCTCCTTCTCCAGCAGTTCCCGAGCATCGAGGGGCAGCGCCGCCTCGCACGCTGCAAGCCAAGCGTGCAGCGGCGTGCCGCAGTCTCGCGGTAGTAGCATGTGAAGCAGCGCCCGCGCCAAAGCATTCTCGGGTCCCAGCTCGAGGGTGGACAGAAATCAGGCGGCCTGTGTGAAGCTAGCCGCGAATCCGTATACCCCTTCAACTAGGGGATCAGTTATGCCTATCCCACCGAGCGACGGCGGCAGCGAGGCCTGGTCCCATACGCGCGCTTGCTCAGCCCTACACGTGGGAACGCGTATGTCGCATGAAGTCAGCAGAGCAATGAGGAGGTCTTTCCCCCACTGGCTCCAACGTTCGCGAGGCAACAGGTGCAGCGGCGTCGTCCTAATAAGGTAAGCAACCCGCCTCGAGATACAACGTGTGATGAGGAGAGCGGCGACCTGCGGATCAGCGCGCTCGATGAGTGAAAGGGGCCTCGCCATCTCATCCAGCTGGTCCGCCACGAATTTAGCTGCGCCGCTGTCAGGTCCCAGGAAGCTTCCCAGGAGACGCACGCCTTCCCCCGAGAAAGGTACCCCTGGTGGAAGCATCTCGTGCTCTGCTGGATTTGCACTCCAGGCCGCACACTTTTGGGGATTGTGCTTCAGGCCCAGGTGTGCCAGCTTGTCGGTGAAGAACGTGAAGGCAGCTATAGTGTTCGGTGTATCACCCAAGAACGTGATGTCGTCCGCATACGCCAAACAAAACACGTCAGGATGTGCTTCAGCTGTTTCGCGGAGGGTGGCGTGTATCCCTGCTGCGAACAGGAGCGGGCCAAGTGGGTCGCCTTGGTGTACGCCCCGTTCGCTACTCAGTGGGTCCGAGTTGAAATTGGAGTCGAGGAGTAGTTGCGACGGGTCACCATACGTTAGTTTCACTAGTGGCAGCAGCGGCGAAAGGGTGGGGTCGTGTAACGCGGAAGCGATGGCGTTTCGCGATATGCTGTTGAATGCGTTCGAAATGTCAGCCTGTAGGACTAGGCTGTTTGGGCGGGCGTCCATGTGGGCCCTGGTTGCATAGATAACTGCTTCAGCGCCACCTGGCACTGCCACCCAGTACTGTAGAGGTAGAAAGAAAGAACGCGCTGCGTCCCCCATAGCAGCCAGCGCGGCTTTGGCTGTGAGTCGTGTCAGGCACTCCCCGATCGCGATTGGCCGAGCCCCCCCTCCCGGCTTGGCCAAGGCGATGAGGCGTGAGGCTGTTAAAAGATTCGCCACTGAGCCTGGCAGATTTCCTCCCAGGATGGTGTTGACCAAGGCGTGCAGATGGGTGCTGACCAGTGCGTTGGTAATCGCCGCGTCGCGCAGATGCTCAAATTTCATTCCTGACAAGCCGGCTCCCACCCCGTTTTCGCATCGGCCCAACAATTTTGCGAAGTCAGGATGGGCGATTGACAACTTTGACCCGAGATGTTCAGGCCAGGTCACTGCCCCGTGAGCAGCGGGGGGGTGTTTTTGGCGCAGTTCCTCCAAAATATATGGGCCAGGAGTGCAGACGGGCGTTGACTCGAGGGCTAGCACGGCTCGGCGCAGACTGCCACGTTTCGCCAGACCTTCCGCACGATTGATGACCCCAGTCGCGTCGGGCTGGTGCCGTGGCGGAGGTGGCGTGTTGACCGCGTCCACCGCCTGCCTGTACAACTGCTCCCATTCGCCACGTTGGAAGGCCCGCAGCCGAGCCTTGACCCCATTCCAATCCGGTCGCTGCGGCGAGGTTTGACGAAGTGTCAAACGCGGGAGAAACAGCAGCAGGCGCCATCCTGACTCTGACTCGGGGTGTCGCGACAGGTGGAGTAACGGTGTCAGCATCGCGACTGCGAAAAGCTGGCACAGATTCGGCGGTAAACGCCTCGACAGCGAAGGCTGACGACTGTCGCTGAGGGCCGCGACATCCCAGTTCGCGATGGCAGCAAACAAATCCAGCCGCTCTGCAAGCTCGTCAGCTGAAAAATAGCGGGGAATTGGCCCAGACGGTCGCGTCGCGGAGTTGCCCGGGGCGAACCGATTTCGTCCAGCGCGCCCCGCTGTGGCTGCTTCGTTCGAAGTTGGAATCTCGCCCGTCCGTTCGGCATCCAACGTACCAGGGGCCCCCTGCTGCTGTTCCACTCCTGAAGCTATCACCGCTGTCGCTCTCCCAGCAATCCCTCTCCCAGCAGGTTCTCTCATAGCTCCCGCGTCCTCCTGCTCCTCGTCCTCATCCGAGGGAAGAGCCTCCTCCCTATAAGAGGGGTCTGCTAATTCTTCCTCTGCATAAGTTGCCTCCATAGTGGTTAAAGCCCTGCGTGCCTCCGCCTGATACCCGTTCTCCGGTCCTCCGCCCGTCCCGCTGACTGTCTGCTCCCCAGGCCCGCGACGCCCTCGTCCTTGAGATGGTGATTGCCGGCGCTCCTGAGCCGTCGCCAGTGCGCGCTGCTGCCTGGTCGGCAAGGACCGCCACGCCCCAGTCTGCCCTCGAAACGGCGACCATTCCGACGAACCCCCCTGCACCGCCGGTTCCGATGCCCGCGACAGCAACCTCTGAAAAGATTCCTCCCCCCGTACTCGCACGTCCATCCGTTGTGGCGGAGTCTGGCCAGCCGGCGCAGATTCCTGCTCCGCCCGCTCCTGCCGATCCTGCGCCTCTGGCTCCTCTCGGCGCGCCTCTGGCGTCTGCTCCCGCCGGGACTGCCGCAGACCTCCCTGCACCCGGCGTGTCCGCTGTGTTGCTCCCGGTTGTCCCCGTCGTGACTGCTCCGGCCTCCGCGACGTCCCCGCAGGCGGCGTCCGCCACCACTGGCGGCCCGGCCCCGATTGCGTCGCCTGCGACGGAGGTTCAGCCTGTTCCTGCTGCGCCGAACCCTCCGGCTGGTCAGCCATCGCGTCCCCCGTCACCGGACCGCCGCCAGTCTCGCCAGCATTCCCCCGCTCCCCAGAAGGAGCGAGCATCGTCCCGGCGCCGGCGCAATTCCCCTCGGCGCTATCCTCAGCAAGGCCAGTGGCCCGCTCACCGCAGTGGTCGTGGTGGGTGGTGGGGTCCGCAAGGCCGTGGTGGCGGCATGGCGTATGATCCGCCTGTGAGGATGGCGGATCTGCAGCGGCTAGTGTCGGACGCGATGCGCGAGGAGAGGGCGGCGCAGTCTCAGGGCAGTTCAATGCGTGCGGCGCCGACATTCGTGGCTGCACGGCAAGCCCCTCTCCCTGTAAATCGCTCACAGGCCGCTGCCGTCCCGGCTCCTGTTCCGCCTCCTGCGGCTCCTGCGCCCGCTGCCTCGGCCCCTGCTCCGACGTCCCGTCTTCAGCTACCGCCCGTTCCGCCAGTGGCGGGGGTGGAATTTGTGCCCGCGGGGAGTGGGGCGGCGACGACTCCCTACCTGCCTGCCGTTGCTGGCGGGTCGGCCCCTCTTCCCGCCGATGGGTCGCTTCTCTTTCTGGCTGAGGCGCTTCAGCCACCGCAGGCTCGAGTACCTGAGGCGGTTCTCGGCCAGCTGTTTCGCCTCGCCGAGAGCCTGCACGCTGTTCTGCTGATCCAAGTGCTTGCTCATTCATCCCTCCCTGCGATTCCCCCTGACACGTTTCAGGATCGGTCGCGTGACGTGTGTCTTGACGCGGCCGATCAGCTCGCCCAGCTGCTGGCGCCCGTGTTGGCTGTGTCAAACATTGTATGTTTATATTGTGTAGGCTATAGTGGGTTTAGCCTTAGAGGGTACACAAACTTAGGGTTTCATACTTGTACCCACCTTCCTGCTAGTTCATCCATTCTCGTTCTATTCTAGATTCTAACATGGTATCAGAGGCCTAGGTTGCTACCTAGGACCGCTTTCTACAATGGGCCCACTATTCCGCTAGGCGCGCCCTCGTGCGCCCTACCTTACGTGCGCCCTCGTGCGCCCTACCTTACGTGCGCCCTCGTGCGCCCTCGTGCGCCCTCGTGCGCCTTTCTCTGCTAGTGCGCCTTCGTGCGCCCTCGTGCGCCCTCGTGCGCCCTCGTGCGCCCTCGTGCGCCCTCGTACGCCCTCGTGCGCCCTCGTGCGCTCTCGAGCTGCCCCTGCAGGTCCGTCAGGCCCCCGAGCCGCCGCTGCAGGCCCGTCAGGCCCGAGAGCCGCCCCTGCACACCCGTCAGGCCCGCGCGCAGCCTCTGCACGACCGCGCGCCGCCCCTGCAGGCTCTCGCCGCCCGCCGCGTCGCCCTGCCCGTGGCGTCGCCGCCTCCCCGCGGCGTCGTTGCCTGCCCGCGACGTAGCCCCTGTCCGCGGCGTCGTCGCCTGCCCGCGGCGTCGTCGCCTGCCTGCGGCGTCGTCGCCTGCCCGCGGCGTCGCCGCCTGCCCGCGGCGTCGTCGCCTGCTCGCGGCGTCGTCGCCTGCCCGCGGCGTCGTCGCCTGCCCGCGGCGTCGTCGCCTGCCCGCGGCGTCGTCGCCTGCCCGCGGCGTCGTCCCCTGCCCGCGGCGTCGGCGCCTGCCCGCGGCGTCGTCGCCTACCCGCGGCGTCGCCACCTGCTAGCGGCGTCGCCCTACTCGCGGCGTCGCCACCTGCCCGCCGCGTCGCCCTGCCCGCGGCGTCGCCACCTGCCCGCCGCGTCGCCCTGCCCGCGGCGTCGCCACCTGCCCGCCGCGTCGCCCTGACCTAATCCGCCTCTCGCCCCTGGAGCAGCCGCCACTGCAGCAGCAGCCCCTGGAGCAGCCGCCACTGCAGCAGCAGCCCCTGGAGCCGCCCGCCACTGCAGCAGCAGCCCCTGGAGCCGCCCGCCACTGCAGCAGCAGCCCCTGGAGCCGCTCGCCACTGCAGCAGCCGCCCCTGGAGCCGCCCGCACCTGCAGCAGCCGCCCCTGGAGCAGCCCGCACCTGCAGCAGCCGCCCCAGTGGCACCTGGAGCAGCTGCCGTCGCGGCCCAGCCTCGCCCTGCCGCAGCTGCCGCGGAGCTCCCTGCTGCGGCCCGGCCCAGCCCTGCAGTTGTAGCGGCCCCACTGTCGCCACCGTCTTGCGCCTGCCGCGCCGACCACTGGTGAGCATTGCCCAGTACTGCTGCAACTGCCTTTTCTACTCCCACTGCCACTGCTCCTGCTGTTACTACTGTTACTGCCGCTACTGCTACTACTGCTGCTCCTGACGTGGCCAGATGCAGCTCCAGGGCTGTGCGCGTGAGTCCCCCACGCCCCAGCAGCTTCGTGCGCGTGAGTGGTACGCTAGTCGGGGCTGTCGGGGTGGCCGTAGTGGTAGTCGCTCTGGAGTGCATCGGTCGGGAGCTTCTGGTAGTGGACAGGTGCAGCTGCCGTGTCCTCCTTCGCCCCAGCTGCTTCGTGCGCGTGAGTGGTACGCTAGTTTGGGCTGTCGGGGTGGCCGTAGTGGTAGTCGCTCTGGAGTGCATCGGTCGGGAGCTTCTGGTAGTGGACAGGTGCAGCTGCCGTGTCCTCCTTCGCCTCAGCTGCTTCGTGCGCGTGAGTGGTACGCTAGTTTGGGCTGTCGGAGTGGCCGTAGTGGTAGTCGCTCTGGAGTGCATCGGTCGGGAGCTTCTGGTAGTGGACAGGTGCAGCTGCCGTGTCCTCCTTCGCCCCAGCTGCTTCGTGCGCGTGAGTGGTACGCTAGTTTGGGCTGTCGGAGTGGCCGTAGTGGTAGTCGCTCTGGAGTGCATCGGTCGGGAGCTTCTGGTAGTGGACAGGTGCAGCTGCCGTGTCCTCCTTCGCCTCAGCTGCTTCGTGCGCGTGAGTGGTACGCTAGTTTGGGCTGTCGGAGTGGCCGTAGTGGTAGTCGCTCTGGAGTGCATCGGTCGGGAGCTTCTGGTAGTGGACAGGTGCAGCTGCCGTGTCCTCCTTCGCCCCAGCTGCTTCGTGCGCGTGAGTGGTACGCTAGTTTGGGCTGTCGGAGTGGCCGTAGTGGTAGTCGCTCTGGAGTGCATCGTTCGGGAGCTTCTGGTAGTGGACAGGTGCAGCTGCCGTGTCCTGTGAGTGAGGCTGCCGCTCTAGGTGCTAGTACGTCTGTTGCCCTAGGTGCTGGTGAGGCTGCTACTCTAGGTCCTAGTGAGTCTGCGCCCCCTGGTACTGAGTCGACTGAGGCCCTGCACACCTTCACCCTGGACTCAGGTGCTTCTCGCTGTTTCTTTCGTGACCGCACTGCCCTTGAGCCGCTTGCTCGGCCAGTTGCTGTCTCCCTCGCTGACCCCTCTGGGGGTCCGGTCATTGCGACCTCCTCCACTGTTCTTCCCTGTCCTGCGGTCCCGTCGGGCACACTGTCAGGTCTCCACCTCCCCTCGTTCTCTACAAACTTGGTGGCGGGTTGTGCGTTCCAGGGTGCGGGTGTTCACCAGTTCACCCCTGCCTACGAGCGCGTGACACACTGCACGTGTGCTCGGACGGGCCGTCACCTGGCTACCTTCACTCGGCAGCCAGGGTCGGACCTATACACACTGACCACTGAGTCCCCTCAGGTAGCTGCGTCTGCGTCTGCGTCAGGTCAGCTGTCGGCCCCCTGCTCGTGTCGCTCTCTGGCGCACGAGACAGTCCTCTGGCACCACCGACTCGGTCACCCGTCTGTGCAGCGCCTTCGTGCCATGCACAAACGGTACCTTGTCTCTGGTCTTCCCAGGGTTCTCCCTCCCCTCCCACCCTCGCCTGCTCCTCCCTGTCTTCCCTGTGTCGAGGGGCGGCAGCGCGCCGCTCCTCACTCCTCCTCCTTTCCCCCGACGACTGCTCCCTTGCAGACGCTCCACCTGGACGTGTGGGGCCCAGCCCGCGTCCGTGGACACGGTCAGGAGAGGTACTTCCTGATTGTTGTTGACGACTACTCGCGCTACACCACGGTCTTCCCCTTGCGCACCAAGGGTGAGGTCCCTGATGTCTTGATCCCTTGGATCCGAAGAGCTCGTCTTCAGCTCAGCGAGCGTTTCCGCTCGGACTTTCCTGTCCTGCGTTTGCACTCTGACAGAGATGGTGAGTTCTCCTCCGACCTCATGGCAGCCTACTGTGCGGAGCACGGCATTGAGCAGTCGTTCACGCTTCCGGCCTCTCCACAGCAGAATGGGGTTGCTGAGCGCCGCATTGGCTTGGTCATGGAGGTCGCTCGTACCTCCTTGATCCATGCGGCTGCCCCCCACTTCCTGTGGCCGTTTGCTGTCCGATACGCTGCGCATCAGCTCAACCTCTGGCCCCGTGTCTCCTTACCGGAGACTTCCCCGACACTGCGTTGGACGGGAGAGGTTGGCGATGCGTCACGTTTTCGGGTCTGGGGATCCCGAGCTTTTGTTCGCGATACGTCCGCGGACAAGCTCTCCTCTCGCGCTGTTCCTTGTGTCTTCCTTGGCTTTGTCCCGGACGCGCCTGGTTGGCAGTTTTACCACGTCACCTCGCGCCGGGTTCTGGCTTCTCAGGACGTCACCTTTGACGAGTCCGTCCCCTACTACCGCCTCTTCCCCTACCGCACTGCCCCGCTCCCCCCCCGCCTCTCTTCCTCGCTCCAGGTGCTGCTGTGGTAGACCCCCTCCCCCCTCAGGGTGCCGCTCCCTCTGGTGTGTCCCAGGTAGACCCGGTTGAGCCTGTCGAGGTAGCTGTAGACTCTCGTCCTGCTCGGGGTGCTGAGCCTGGAGGTGCGGAGCCTGGGGGTGCTGAGTCTGGGGGTGCTGAGCCTGGGGTTGCTGAGTCTGGGGGTGCTGAGCCTGGTGGTGCGGAGCCTGGGGGTGCTGAGCCTGGAGGTGCTGAGTCTGGGGGTGCTGAGTCTAGCGGTACTGAGCCTGGGAGTGCTACACCTGGAGGAGCCCTCTCCTCACAGCAGCTGCAGGAGAGGTACCTACAGTACTGCAGCCTCAGGAGAGGTGCTGCTGGAGCTGGTACCAGTGCTTCCCCTCCTACCCGGGAGCTCCCCTCCCTTCAGCGGATCCGAGAGTGGTACACACGACGCTGCAGTCTTCGGAGTGGCGCTCCTGGTGTTGTGGACCCTGGTACTGCAGGTGCTACTGGTACTGAGGAGCCGGGCGTTGGAGCTGCTGCTGGTGCTGGGGACCCGGACGGTGGAGCTACTACTAGTTCTGAGGACCCGGACATTGGAGCTGCTGCTGGTGCTGCAGACCCTGACGTTGGAGCTGCTGCTGGTGCTGAGGACCCGGGCGGTGGAGCTGCTGCTGGTGCTGAGGACCCGGACGTTGGAGCTACTGCTGGTACTGAGGACCCTGACGCTGGTGTCTCTACTGGTTCTGGAGACGCTGCGCGGCCGCGACCTTACTTCGTGCCGCTCCTTCAGCAGGTTCTTGGTCAGACACCTCCTCCTTGTCCTCCTTCCTCCTTAGAGTGTCCTCCGCCTGTCCAGTCGCAGTCACAGTTACCGCCTGCCTCGCCTCTCCTTGGTCCCTCCCCTTACACTGGTCCCACAGGAGGTCTTACGGAGCGTCGTGAGCCTGAGTCTCGTCCTGCGTCGCCTGTTCGTACTGCTCGCACTGGTCGTCGTGTCCCACGTGAGCGTCCTCCTCCTGTCCCTGGCACTCACTACATGACTCTGCGTCCCTCCACTGCTCCTCAGCGTGTCCCTCTGCCGTCTCCTCCTGCGTCCTCTCTACCTACTCTTCCTGACCCGGAGTCTGACTCCCATCGTGCTGCCAGTCCCACTGTCACGCGTCTCCTCGCCACTGTTGTCACTGACCCTTCCTTTGAGTCCTCTGCTGCGTCTGCTCTGGTCGCTGAGTTGGTTAACTTTGCTGCTCGGTGTCGTCTCGACTACGCCGCTAGCCTTGTTGCTGAGTCTGAGTCTGTCTGTCCTCCGTCCGTCGGGGGTGAGTGTGCTCTTGGCACGGACGTCCTTGAGGACAGACAGGAGGAGTTCCAGTGCTTTGCTGCTGCTTTGCCCCATCTCGTGTCCATGCTAGTCGCCCCTGAGGGAGACCCGGATGCACCAGACATCCCGACCCCGCGCTCTTACGCAGAGGCGATCGCGGGTCCCTACTCCTCTCAGTGGCAGACAGCCATGGATGCAGAGATGGCTTCTTGGAAGTCCACAGGCACCTACGTCGACGAGGTTCCCCCACCTGGGGCGAACATTGTCAGTGGCATGTGGATTTTCAGGGTGAAGCGGCCGCCGGGTTCTCCTCCTGTCTTCAAGGCGCGCTACGTTGCTCGAGGCTTCAGTCAGCGAGAGGGAGTAGACTTCTTCCAGACCTTCTCCCCCACCCTGAAGATGACCACTCTTCGGGTACTGCTGCACATAGCCGCTCAGCGCGACTACGAGCTTCACTCACTTGACTTCAGCACTGCTTTCTTACAGGGCAGCCTGCACGAGGAGATCTGGCTGCGTCGCCCTCCTGGCTTCACTAGGTCGGTTCCTCCTGGTACCCAGTGGAGGCTCCAGCGGCCGGTCTACGGTCTCCGCCAGGCGCCACGTGAGTGGCACGACACACTGAGGACTACGCTTGCGGCTCTTGGGTTCACTCCTTCTACTGCTGACCCGTCGCTGTTTCTACGCACCGACACCTCGCTGCCGCCGTTCTACATCCTCGTGTACGTCGACGACTTGGTCTTTGCCACTGCTGACACTGCGGCACTCGCCCACGTGAAGTCGGAGCTGCAGAAGAGACACATGTGCACAGACCTGGGTGAACTGACAAGCTATCTTGGCTTGCGGATCACTCGGGACAGAGCACGGCGCACCATCACCTTGACTCAGTCACACATGGTGCAGCAGATCCTTCAGCGCTTCCGCTTCACGTACTCCTCGCCTCAGTCCACTCCTCTGCCTACCGGTCACTCGCTTTCAGCTCTGCCTTCGGATGAGTCCGTAGAGCCGAGTGGCCCGTATCCAGAGCTTGTGGGCTGCCTCATGTACCTGATGACCTGCACTCGACCTGACCTTGCATACCCTCTTAGCATCCTTGCACGCTATGTCGCTCCTGGCCGTCACAGGAAGGAGCACATGGATGCCGCTAAGAGGGTGTTGCGCTACTTGTGCAGTACGTCGGGCATGGGGCTAGTGCTTGGAGGGCGAGACCGAGTTGTACTTACTGGACACTCAGACGCTTCTTGGGCGGACGACCAGGCTACTCAGCGGTCGTCTCAGGGTTACACCTTCAGCCTTGGCTCTGGCTCTGTTTCTTGGCGTTCTACACGCTCTTCGTCTGTTCTCAGCTCCAGTTGTGAGGCTGAGATCTACGCCACAGCCATGGCGGCCCAGGAGCTACGCTGGCTGACCTACCTGCTGACCGACTTGGGAGAGCGGCCTCGTTCTCCTCCAGTGCTGTACGTCGACAACAAGGCTGCCATT